GAAGCAGTCGGCGTTCCAGACCCAATAACAAACATTGATACAAATCTGATAAGCAATTGGAAGCACATTCAAAAAATGAAGAAAGATTTTTGGAGTATTTGGACAAAAGAATATCTTCATCAGTTACAACAGCGACACAAATGGAAGGCGAATGAAGAAAATTTAAAAGTTGGCACAGTCGTACTCGTTAAGGACGAGAATATAAGCCCAAGTAAATGGCCTATCGCAAGAATCAAACAAATCCATCCTGGAAGCGATGGTGCCACAAGAGTTGTGACACTTAAGAGACCACAAGGAGCTGACCAAAAACGAGGGATACATTCATTAATACCGCTACCGGTGAATGAATGCATAGAAACAATCAAAAATAAATCAAATGCGCCTGACCATATTAACATAGCAACAGTGAAGCAACTTCATCTGTTTCCCTGTGGCGGTGAAAAACATGCAATTGAATAAAAATTGCATTGTTAGACTTATAACTAAAAATGAAAACAATACAGACTGCAAGACAAAAAGTTACAATTTGACAAGTGACGTAGTATGGAAACGAGTTCAAATGACAAATACTTGGTTATATTTGACAAAAACATCAAAAACTGTGTCCATTGTGTGTGACGGGAAAAGAGAAGAAGTCTCCATCCACGATGTTGGAATAATACAAATTTCAGAAAATTGCATAATAAAAACAATGACTACCACATTAGCTGCGAAAAGAATTATTTCAATTAATGTTTTAGCTTCTTATAGTAGGACTAGTCAGTTTAAATTAGACTATAACAGATCTCTATTAATTACTAATGACTTTTCTAAGGAACAGGTTTTAGATAGCTCTAAAGATATTTTTAATAAGTTAGTAAATAAAGAAAGTACATTACAAACAACCCTAGACAATACTGTTTGGCGTAGCATAAGTACCCAAACATACGTAGCTAGTTTTACTTCCTTAATAATATTTTCCCTTTTTGCCTTATTAATATACTGTTGTGGTCCACAGCACAAAGACTACGAGCTATGGTAGCAGCCAGACGGTTGGTGACACAAAATAGCAGCAGCGGCCAGCCTGCCGACGACAGCACCGAGCAGCAACCCTCCAGCAGGCCTGCAACTCCAATTCAGCCAAAGACACAGCTACATATCTACGCAGGGCCAGCTGTGAGGAAGAAGTCAACTGCACCTCAACTTTACGAACTGAAAGCCTTTTCGTGAGAGGCGCCAAAATGTTCACGTGCACATGACGTAAACAGACAACCTGACCGGACATTTGCTGCATTTGCCGAAGTGATGACAATAGACTACTCAGCAGTGCAATGACCGTTCTGAACTAGGCTGCTGAGTAGAGTATTTAACTTTATGTATACATTTAAAAATAATATTGTTTATAAGTCACACACACTTAAATACCGTTTTGTATAAATAGCTTAAGTTTTGTAAATAAAACTCTCTTTGAATTCAGACATCAACGCTGTCTTATTGACAACGGAGCACTCCTGACTACAGCATCCTCTCACTGCGGCCAAGACACCTTTAGCCGTTAGCTTATCTGATCAGTCTTCTCGTGATCGATGACTCGAGATCGTCCCTGGCCAGCAGATTAAGCTCCGCTGCATACGCAGTCCGCAGAATACGTGAGCTTACCGATGTTAGTACTGCTAGACTAGTTTACTTTAGTTACTTCCATAGTATAATGTCCTACGGGATTCTCATGTGGGGTAAAGCGGCAGATATTCAAACCATATTTGTATTGCAAAAACGAGCGATTCGTTCTGTGTACCGCCTAGGCTCTCGGGTATCTCTCAGAGAAAAGTTTAAGGAGACTGGTATCATGACTGTGGCATCGCAGTACATTTACTCAAATATTTTATATGCCCGTAAAAATATACATAATTTCAATAAGAAAGAAGATATCCATAACATTAACCTTAGAGCTAAGTCCAAACTCATGGTACCACGATTTCGTTTAACAAAGGTAAACAACTCTTTTATGGGGAACTGTATACGTTTTTACAATAAGATTCCGGAGCATATATTAAGTTTATCATTTCCTAAGATTAAAAACTACATTAAAAATATTTTGATCGAAAAATCATATTACAAAATTGAAGACTACGTGTTAGATAAAGATGTATGGAAAGACGACATGGCTCCAGAATCCACACAAATTTGATTCAAAGTGTATTCCATAGCATTTAAGTTTATTTGAAAAGAGCAATCCCTAGAGTTTCTTGCTCGTTCTTCTCAGGGAGGTCAGCGTAGTGAACGAGCAGTAGCTTAAATGTGACGTTTTCAAGTGTAAATTTATTTTACCTATGGAATAAATAATCTTTGACTTTGACTTTGACTTTGACTTTGAGACTGGCAGTGAGAAAACCATGTCCTAAAGCACCCTTATCCTTCCCCCTTTCCGTCTGTTGCCTTAGGTCGCACGGTGACAGGCTTCCCCTACTATTTATATAAGTATATATTCCGTAGCGTATGGTTAGGGCTAGGCTGTTAGGTAGGCAACTAGGGTTGTTAGTGATAGTACAGCTTTCCCTGACCACTCATGTATAGCCAGCTAGCAACAGCTAGGTAGTTGACTGTACACATACTAACATAGCTCTAAGGCTTTCTTTTGTAACTAACACCATTATCTTATGGGCTATGGCCTGAAAGAAATGGTTTATTATTTATTACTAAAGTTTGTTATAATTACTAATACTTAAGATTGAACACTCAGAAAAAATTCCTTCGATCCGGTAGGGTTCGAACCGATGTCTTCTTGCATAGCTATACCAACGATCGTGGCTTACCACGGAACGTACCAACGGACCTCACGAATTTTTATATGTGCTTGTGTCGTGTCTTTGTATTTGGTTTTTCAACGACTTTTTAGTCGTAGCGTCATCTATGAGAAATCTATGATAGATTTATCACCCAGTTAGTGCCTTTACAGCTACCAGTCCTGGCGAGAGATGTCGCTATTCACTGTATTTTAAATTTTTATTGAAATGATATTCAATTATTTTTTGTGAAATTACTCCACTAGTTTGTTACAATTATTAATACAAAGATCGAACACTCAGAGTCGAACCGACGTCTTCTTGCATACCGTGCCAGATGTTATACCAACTAAGCCACGGAATGAACCAACGGACCTCACGAATTTGTCTGTGTGCTTGCGTCGTGTCTTTGTATTTAGTTTTTCAGCAGTTAGCAAAAAGCTATTTAACCCACCTATCAGACACTAACAAGATATTGAATACGATATAAATACCTGAAAATCAGCTTTCAAAATAGCTTAACTGCCTTTCTCACTAGTGTATTAAGGACGTCAAATATTTATTTCACATCGCACACACGTACATCATTATCACTTAAATTTTTACGATAATCGAAAATTAATAATTTATACGTACAAATAAATATGTAAGTTGTAAAGTAACACTTAGTAATTTTACTTTAATTTCTTAATAAAAACCGGTGAACGTCACATGTTTTTGTTGTTTATTTGTTTAGGCGCTCCGCACATAAATTTTAAGTATTGCTAAGGGGTGCCCTCTGGGGATTTATTAAAGTATTTGTGTGCATTGTGTATTTGCTGTGTAGGTATCTGCTTGTGTATGTGTAATAGAATGTGTATATTATAATTATTATATTTGCTGTAAAGAAGAACTTAACTACAATACGTAATCGTAATAGGTAGGTCCTAAATTAACACAATTTTAACGTGCTTAACGGTGACATGTCAAACACATTTTTGTACTAACTGCTAATTATTATTATTATTAATTAAGAAATAGATACAGAAAAAATGTAAAAATTTGTGCTGCTAACGGTGTAACAAAAACCATTTTTGGTTTGACCGTACACTGGCCAAACCATCTAGCACCATCTAGTTTATACTTTAAAGTTAAAAAAATAATAATAATAAGAAAACGATTAAAAAAGAATGACAATAACTACATTCTATACTAATAACATTTCCAGTACAAAATATTAACAAAAAATAAGAAAGAGTAAAAATGTGGGTGGGTATCAATTAGTTCGCGTAATAACGCACCAATACATCACACATTCCAGTCAAGTTATACAATTTTTTGTGGCGTACGGACACGGAAGGATTTTATTCTTTTAAAAAATATTGTTTAAGTTTAATTTTAATATTGTGTGCATTTATTTCGGTTTTGAGTTGTACTGGTAGTTCATTTATTAATTTAGGTACTTGGTATTGTAATAATTGTTTACCGTATACGAGTAAGTTTTTGTATTTTGGTATTTTTAACGTAATTTTTCACGCACTTCTTGTGTTTATTTTTGGTATAATAATGTTTTGTAAGTGTGAATTGAAAAAGTTTTCTAAAAGGAGAATGTATTTGAGATCATGTATGGGTATAATTTTGAAATGACGTAATAATTCTAAGTAGTTGTCTTGATATTTATTTCTAACTTTGGTAGGTGTAATAGTTTCAAGAATTCTGACTTGCAGTCTGTATATGGGATCCAGATGCGATTTACAAGTTCTACCATAACTACTAAGTCCATAATATATTGTTGTTTCACCTAGAGCCTTATACAAGTATAGAATTGTCGAGATAGGAATTTTGTTTCTAACAATAGCCAGTTATGCCAATATTTCCCGTAGTTTGTCACTGACATAATTAATATGCTCATTCCACTTAAGTCTGTTATCGATTATTAACCCTAAGTATTTTTGTTTATTGACTATTTCAACAGGTGTGCATGAGCAGTTATGCAAGTTAGCATGGAGACATGTGTGGTTGTGAGCAATCAGTTTCAAATTATAGGGTTTTCTATTCTGGCTAGAACTAATATACATTAATTTGGTCTTTTCTGCATTAAGCACAAGACCAATATCGTGAGACCATTTCGTCAGTAACGTAAAGTCCAATTGTAGATGTTTTAATGCTTCACTTAGGTCCTTGTTAGCTGTTATAAGACACGTATCATCAGCAAACTGATAGATTTCGCAGTTTTTAATTAGGTTCACTAACTCGTTCACGTAAGTAATGTAGTGAAACGGACCTAGGACTGATCCTTGCGCTGTGCCACTAGAAACAATCACCTTTTTACTCACTGTATCCCCAATCTTGACAATATATGACCTATCCGTCAGATAATCTTGAAACCATTTATTAAGAGGGCCCTGTATACCACATTCATTTAACTTTTCAATAAGAGTGTCGTGTTTCAAAGTGTCAAGTGCTTTACTGTAATCAATAAATACTACTAAAATATGTTTTTTGTTATTAAGATGTTCATATACAGTATCGGTAAATTTTGAGAGAAGTTGTGTTGCACTTTTGCCTGGTTGGAATCCAAACTGTTTGTCTGTTATTATGTTGTTATTTTTATAAAAAGAGTGTATTTGGTTCGATATAATTTTTTCGACTATTTTATCTATGGTTGGAAGTATTGTTATTGGACGGTAGTTATCGTAAGAACTTTGACTACCTTTCTTATGTATTGGCCTAACTATTCCAGTTTTAAGACCTTGTGGATATTTGCCTTGACTGAAAGATGTGTTTATAAGGCAAGCTATAGCTTCAGCTACTATAGGACCCAGTGTTTTTTAATCTTGTGCTCTTATGTTGTCTATACCTGGAGCTTTAAGAGTCTTGAGTGATTTTATTTCTTTAAGGACACTTTTTACCGTTGCCTTTTGAAATTTACAAGATACATTCACAGTCAAAATATTTGTATTATTATCTAGAAGTTTAGTATCGCATAGTGGGACAATATTTTTAACACTATTAGTAAAGTTCTCAGCAAATGTATTGGCAATGTCAGAAGTGTTTGTATTGTTTTCTAACAACGCGTTCAAAATAAGTATATAGTATCCGCTAAAATCTTAGCCCTTCCAGTAACTTCGTTAAGAATTTGCCACAATGGTCTAGGATTATCTTTATTCATATATATATCGTTCCGTATCTTTGTATTTTTTGTTTTGTTTATCACTTTATTGGCATAGTTTCTAGATAAGTTGTATCTTTGCTCTAATATTTTATTTGTAGGATCTGAGATCCGTTTTATGAATAATTTATCTCTATGTTCACAGGCTTTAAGAATTTTGTTGAAAATCCATTTATTATTTATACGTTTTTTATTTCCAGATATTTTGATTTTCATTGTGGTTTCATTTGAGTTTTATTTCAATAAATCACGAATTGTACAAATTCAGCATTTGAACAGATGGCGACGTTTTCGATTGAATATTTAGTTGTACCTACTTACGCAGAATGAAGAACATAGCTAAAGTGAACGGCGGCCCTAATTCTGAATAACTTGCATAGTATTTTACGCTTTAACTCTAAACCACTTTAAACATTCATTTTATCCGCTCACGCGATACATGCAGCCGTGAACGCATGCCGCCACAGAGCGTTGCGCGATTCATGCGTCTCTGGAAGCATAACATTCATTCATTCATTCATCGTCGTGCGCTCTAAAAGTGTGGATATGCTAATCATTCCACTTTGCGTTGTAACTTAATAATACAGTTAAAAATCGTTTTTATCTACTACATCTGAAGAACTAATATCGTGTGCTTGCATGAATAACTAAGTGAGAAAATAAAATAAAGTGCAACATTTTGATGTGTTTGTGACTATACTGTGATACTCTTTTCGCATCGCACATACTCTTTCTGGCATCGCATCTCGGAGCAGTGACTGAGGGGTACTTACCTCACCCCCGGAACCAACTTTGTGCTAAGGAAAAAAACCATAACTGATTGATTATACACTATGCAGCGATCACCACCTAAGTGTCCATCAAATCCCGATCTATCAACATATGATAATGAAGCCAATATAAATACGCGAAAGCGTAAACAATTTGACGGGTTTCAAACAAGTAATTTGGATGAGAAACTTAGCGAGATGGTGACCTCCTCGGTACAAACTGTAATGACCGCCGAAGTAAACAAAATTTTATCTGCAATATCGGGACTGAGTAAGGATAACGCCAGCATCAAGGAATCCCTAAAAGAGTGTAATACCAGACTCGGGGATATTGATAAATCTCTAAACGCTATGGATGAGCGCCGGGATTCCTTTGATGGGCGTCTGAAAATTTTAGAAGAGTACGTTGGCGATTATCCTTCTAGCTCTGAAAAAATAATAATGCTGGAAAATAAATTGGCACTGATGGAACAACAGGCGCGAGAAAACAACATCGAAATTTGTAACGTGCCTGAAAAGCGAGGAGAAAATTTGATAACTATTTTCACTCATCTGGGAGGTATAATAAATTATAAAATTAGTCCAACGGATATAACATCTTTACATCGAGTGCCCCATGCCAACACAAAGGACTCTAGACCTAAAAATATTATAGTAAAATTCGCCTCCAGAATGACTCGTGACAATTTTATTGCGGCCTTCCGCTCCAAAGAAGGATATTACTTCTGAAAATCTGGCGATTACCGGACCGCCACATAAGATTTACGTTAATGAATCATTTAACCCTGCAAAATAAGATCTTATTTCGAGAAACTCGAGAAAAAGCTAAAATACGCGAGTATCGTTATGTATGGGTTAAACATGGAATCATCTTGGCGAGAAAAAATGACACATCACCGGTCATCGCGATCCGGTCGCAGCACGACATCAAAAAAATTAATTAACTTTATCTACCGCTTAATAGTTAACTTGCCCTCACTTAGTTTAAATATTTTTTTATATCATTACTTAAAATACTTATGAATTGCTCAACTAATTATGTACTTGCCCATACAAAGTTTATGTTTACAAAAAAAATATAATGCCAGCCGTGCAACAAACCAGTTTTCTATCGAGCATAACAATTGTTTTGTTTATTATTTCACAGTATTTTACGTGCGTTTTATTAGGTGTCCCAATGGATTTTTGGCCTATGGCCCCGAAGAGAAAGCCAATTTATTGGCCGACCTTTTTGGGGCTAACTCGCGCATTCACGACCAAGATGCGCAACCGCCGTCAATTCCCCACTGCGGAGTCACAATGCCTGATATAGTTATCAGGCAATGTGATGTCCGCAAGGAACTGCAGACTCTTGACGTGCGGAAGGCCTATGGTCCAGATGGGATACCTCCTATCGTCCTTAAAAGGTGTGCGGCGGAGTTGTCTCCCGTACTGACGCGCTTATACCGCCTCTCATACCAATCTGGTAACGTGCCCCTAGTTTGGAGGGAGGCCAACGTGCAACCTATCCCCAAGAAAGGAGATCGGTCTGATCCGACAAACTATCGCCCAATAGCTGTCACTTCAGTGCTCTGCAAAGTGATGGAGCGGATTCTAAATATCCAGATAATCCGGCACCTGGAACGTCACTCCATTCTTAATGATCGACAGTACGGGTTTCGGCCGAACCGATCAACGAGTGACGTTCTAGCGTATCTAATGCATCTCTGGGGTGAAGCTATCGACAAACAGGGCGAAACCTTAGCGATAAGTCTGGATATTGCTAAGGCCTTTGATCGGGTCTGGCACCGTGGTCTCCTCTCCAAGCTTCCGGCATATAGTCTTCCCGGCCGCCTTTGTGAGTGGATCTCCGGCTTTCTGCGCGAGCGAAGATTGCGTGTCCTTGTTGACGGAGGCACTTCGCGGCTCGTGACAGTTAATGCTGGGGTGCCACAGGGCTCCGTGCTGTCGCCCACGCTGTTCCTTCTGCATATCAATGACTTGTTGCCTTTTGGCAACATTCATTGCTATGCAGATGATAGCACAGTGCACGGTTGCTATTATAAGCAACCGTCAAGCAGCCGGGAGGACCCTGAGAGAAACCGGGAAAAACTTGTCGCTGAGCTCAACCATGTTTTGGAACATATATCGTCGTGGGGCTCCCGAAACTTGGTTGAGTTCAACGCCAAGAAAACCCAGGTATGCGCGTTCAGTTCCAAAAAATCCCCATTCCTTCCACTTCCCCATCTTCAGGGTACAACGCTGACGCTGCAGGACAAGCTCAGCCTGCTGGGGATGAGCATCCGGAAGGACATGAGCAACAAAGACTATATAGAGAGCGTCATCTGTACCGCGTCGCGCAAGCTTGGCATCCTGAACAAGGTGCACCGATTTTTTACTCCAGAGCTGCGATACCTGTTGTATAAAGCTCAGGTCCGAAGCAGCATGGAGTACTGTTCGCACCTTTGGGACGGCTCTGTAGTACTTGCTCGATGCCCTAGATGGACTGCAGCGCTACGCCTTCCG